TGCCTTCTCATTGTCCAACAGTCGCTCGCAATGAGTCAAGTAGTACAATCCATCGAAGAATTCTGTAGATCCAGAAAGGTTCCATTTAGGTGAGCTATCAACGGCATAGCCGCCTGGGCATGTTTATATTCTCAGTTCTCTTCTATTTGTGCTAGATCGATTTATTGCGAACATGTGAGACTGGGTTTTGACCGAAGGGTTCACATGGCTGCTTTGTCTGTCTAGACACGTGACTCCTGAGGGAACATCTATAGTACCCCCGCCGAGTGACCACGAAATGCCCACAATCTGCCGGTAAACCAGGTGCACGTGCCCGCTACGTTAGCCTCTTTTTAGCGAGTAAACGGTTCTGGAAGAACTTCGGTGACAATAATAAGCTTCATTGTTCCATTGAGTTCACTGTTTCAACCACTGAACCATCGTCTACTTGGAAAATTAATGTATTTGCTATAGTAGTCGGAGCTTCCCTAGCTGCATGGAACATCTGCTGAGGGATTTGTTCAGGGGAGGCCGAAACTTAGTGTAGAATAAAGGAAATTGGATTTACTTCCATAGAAGCGCTTAAGGAGGCTCAAAAATAACGTGAAAAGTTCACGAACTACGGACAAAACTGGACGCATCTGACAACCAAGTCCATCTATCCGAATGGAGATAAGTCTACTATCAGGTCTGGTCCAGCAAGTTGTTCAACCAAAGTCGAACTAACGACCTTCAAATTGTTTCATTATATCAACAAATTATGGGTGTCCTGCGTGTCCCTTGCAGCCAAGGAATACTAAACCAATGGTCAGTCGAAGTATTGTCACGTCATGTAAATACCATAAATAGAGGTAAAAAGCGATTATATATATATATATGTTCGATTCCAAGGGAAACAGACAGATAGTTGTCTGCTCGCAATCGAACAGTTTGGCGTTCAAAGGACTGGTCGCCAACCTGAATATTTCCGCAGATATACGATGGGAATGAATTAGCTGTGCAACGTTTCTCAGATTTCAGCTCATATACAAGTGTCCAGTTTATTACTACTTTTGGCGGAATCAAAGATTTCTTGACCGGTTGCATGTAGCAAGATGTTCGTTTCCGGGCTGACCTAGAGACACAGTGGAGGGTTATGCAAATGCCTGTCATATGGACTGTAATTTATCTCAGAGTTTCAGCACGAGGTGAGACTTTTTGAAACATAAGTTCATTTCATTACCGTTGAATTCAAAGTAATTATAGGCCAACAAACGAATTTGGTAACACTGATAACTAAACCTTCACGCTTTTAAATTACAAACAGCATGGGTAAACGGGATACAATCAGCTGACAGAACCGAAGATGGCTGTCCAACTGTTGTACAACCAAACGGACCAAAGAAACAAGAAAACGGTGAAGCACTCCTCAAGTCTTTAATATGTCGTAACTCATTCACCAACCGGTTGGCGGCAATCAAACACCAGGAGGTACACGATGAAACCGCCGATTTCTATTGTAGTGTGTGCGAAAAATCATTCACAAGTGGGCGTGGGCTTCAGCAGCATATTAAGAGAAAAAACGCCAGAGGACACCACATTCCTGACAGAACATCCAGCAAACGGGTGCGGGATTCAGAGGAAGGCGGAAATCCATGTCCTGAATGCGGGAAGTGCTTTACAACTTGGAAGAATCTGTTCCAGCATCGGCGATCGGTTCACCGGGAGGAAACGCGTCAACAGTGCAAGGAGTGTGGGGCACTGTTATGCAGAAAGTGGAATCTTGATCGGCACATGAGAACTGTGCACGGAAAGCAAATCGATCACATTNGCAATGTGGGAAACACTGCTGCAGGTGGGATGTTTTGAAGAGACATGTTGAAAGTGTGCACGGCACGACAGCAAATGAAGCGACTCCTAGTGACAGAACGCAAGAAACGTGATTTTCAATTTAATAAACATATACTGGTCAACTAACACAATTGTCTGCTCAATTTCTTCGAATTTCTCTCATTCCGACCACAATGCCGTTTATTTATTTTGGTTCTGCTCTCATCGAATGAATGCAACTTGCCTGGATGGCTAAAACAAGTAGCCTTATTTGTGTTTCCACTTACATTTAGCATTTCCGGGTAGTTTTAATAGAATGCTTCCCCGACGATGAAACAAGGCTATTTCCTCAGAATTCATACATGCCTTCGACCTGTATCGCGATAGTCTCTGGACTGGCGCTTTTTCTGTCGGTCGACCTAACAAACGTCGTATAAATGACGGAAGCGTTAGTTGCCCAGTATTTTGCATGTTGCATAACTTTAGCTCTCGAACGTCCCACAAGTAAGTCACGTGTTTGATCGCTCGGTATCCGACGGATGAAAATAGCGTGGGTTTGGCTGTGATTTTCCGCATCCATTCAAACCTGTGCTACAATATTGAGTCAGTGAGAGGCCAACGCCTCCGTATTTTTCACAGTTCGTGTTAGTAATACTTGCAAAATTAAGCCAACGCATGAGTTATGAAGTTGTAATGCTCGGCATGTTCGACGCCTTTAATGTGAAGCCAAGTCCTCTTGAATAACTGACAGTTTTCCGCGTAACTCGACGCATCGGATCTCAGGGCTTATTCCATTTGATCACACTGACCTTCTGCGATCCCGCAACTTCGAGAGACCAACAGTTGCTAATCCATCAATCAGCAGATCGTGGAACGATTGTCTCGGGAATCAAACTGAGCCGGAGCATTCGGCTGTATTCAACGCCAAAACCGTCCACCATTCGATGGTGGATAGCGGTCTTTGGCATATGGTACTTTCATTCGCCCTGTTGCATTTAGCGTTGCAAATATTGTTTGACCCGGGCTTGTTTCTCAAATCGGTGAACTATTGTGCTGCCGTTAGTGATTAGTGCGTTGTATTCTGTCTTGGTTGTCGGATAGTGTGTGCTGTGAAGACATCAGAAATTGGTGAATCACATCATCCCAAGGGCGACTTGACGGAATGTATGTGGCCAAGACGAGATATTGAACATTGAGCACTGGTGAGAAGTGGTTTTTGAACCGTGCCAGGATTTAGTCGGGTTTACCAAGTTTTTCGCCATTCGGTTTGCCTTTTGTCTGCCAAAGCCAGACGATGACTAGGCCTAAGTAATAACGACCAGAATGTATGGATGAAAGCTTGCTGCTAAATGAGGAATTCTCGAACTTCCGATCAATGAAACGAGTAGGCAAGAGGGCACGGATTAGGGGAGGAATGGAACAATTGCGGGTGTGCTATCGAACTGATTATGACAGTGCTCAGTTTGATAGCACACCCGCAACTGTTCCATTCCTCCCCTAAACCGTGCCCTCTTTCATTCGCCCTGTTAATTAGTGTGTTGATTTCTGTCTTGGTTGTTGTTATTGTGGATATTGTGCTGTGAGGGCATCAGAAGTTGGTGAATCAAATAATTTCAAGGGCGACTTGACAGAATGTATGTAGGCAAGACGAGGCATTGGACATTGAGCAATGGTGAGAAGTGGTTATTGAACCATGCCAGGATTAAGTCGGGTATACCAAGTTTTTCGCCATTCGGTTTGCCTTTTTTTCTGCCAAAGCTATTGAATTGTTGGTGTGTGGTTCTCCTTTAGCCAGACGAGGAGTATGCCTGGGTAACGATGACCGGAATCAAAGTCCTTTCACTCATGGTATTTGCGACGTATAGACCAAAAGCTTGCTGCTAAATGAGGAATTCTCAAATTTCCGATTCACCTCCATGTTTTAGGTCTCCGCGACTATTTTGTGCCAAGCAGCTCTAAGGCGCCTGTGTTTTGAACTGTGGCGATGAAGCAGTAGAAGGAATCTGTTGAGTTTGTTCACTGTAAATTATGTAGTCTCATGTGTGTCTAGCCGTGTGGATGTAACCGTATGATGCGAAGAGCAACCCAAGAACAACGGGTTATTGTTTCTTTTATTGCTGCTGTTACCGTATGCAGCTTTTTTCTCGGAACTGTTACGGGAACCGTACAGGCATTATAGACGCTCATGATAATTAGGTTCCTAAAAATGAGCAGCAACTCACACATAATTATTTGAATCCCAGAGCCTCATTAATTTTCCAACGAAACAAAACCAAACAGCCACTGGTGTCCTAACACCAGTGTGAGAATTGCCAGTTTTGACCTCGTTCTACCAAACAATTCGATCAGTAAATTAAGACAATGCACCTACACACCACAAGACCATCATGACCAAATATATAGAACAGGCAACGAAGCCGGGTCGACTCAGAACACACGGCTTAATTGACTTTGGATGGGTATTATCAACTGATATTTCACGCGGATGTGCATGGTGAGCACATACAAAGTAAGCAGATCCACCAGGCTATGAGTAATGGCTTCAGTTATAATAGGGAAGCCCTGCTAATTTTGTAGCGAGTGGGTATGATGTACATTGAGCTATATGTATTGGTATCCATGGGTCATCGTCCCTAAGCATGTTTTGCTGGCCCCAGTCTGGACAACCCTATTTGAGCAGAATTTGAGAGGGATTTTCTCGATTCGATTCAGGCGAACGGCTGAGAGTAATTAACTATGAACAATCTCCGGTAAATAGCATATATGTGGGTTTCCTCTTCCTTCCTCACTGTTCGCTAACGCTGTTTGAAAACCTATTCTCACATGATATTACCATCAATGGTTTACACGGGAAGGACGCGTAATACATTCGGTCAATCGTTCATGTTAGGCCGACAGGCATTCGATGACGAAACGCCGCGCTGAACATATTCATCGGCGGTTCATCAGCGGTTCAAATTTGCAGTCGTGCTGTGGTGCATCATACACAGGCTTCGCTTATTTTATTGATGCATGAATGTGCGAACATCTCACTGTTGACTCTATTTCCGTTGGCATCATTAATCAGCACTCGTGGATGGTCGTCAGTGGTCATATCGATGGTAATGACGACCGCCTCTGCGAGACGAAACTGGTCGCAATAAAATTCTGGCCCTTTCCATAAGTGCTGCACGTTGACTTTGTAAACACACACAGACCTGCGGTAAGCAATATTATGCAATCAATATGCCCCGCGTTGTCAGCAAGGCCTTCATTTGTCCTCTTTTCTCTCCAACTTCGTCATCGGTGCCATTGATTCGACAGGTTTCCATGGTGTTCACCGGTATCCAGAACATGTCAACCATTTTGAACACAACCAAGTCACGATGAATTCGATAAAAATGCCCCGACCGATTTGGTTCGTTATTTGTCATAACACAAATTCCTCAACAATCGGCACTATCATTGCGCGTATCCCAGTTATGAAGCCAGGTGTATTAGGATTGACCAACAAGCCTGTGGGACGTTACTGCGTTAGTGGACCGGCTGCGATCAGACCGGACGGGTATGTTCATTTTGGGGACATGAGCCGAGCACGCACACCGGTCGTTATGAGAGGACTTTGTCAAAATGCACAATTGATCAGCGCATTGTTTTACGTGAGCGATACCAAATGCGCCAGTATTTGGCGCTTGTCCATTAACAATGGTGTTAACCAATTGCGTCCTGGTTCGTTGTCTCCCCAGTCATCAGCATGCCGGGCATTGGAATTGACGGTCGCTCATGGTAAAGCGCGACTGGCAAGGGATGAACTTCCATATATTGGAAACCCGGTGTAAAATACGCAGTCCCAACTGACATTGCCACATTGGTTTCTTTTCCAAATTCCTTCTACGGGGGGCGTTGCAATTCGCACGGTAACTTTGGATGTTTGCCAGGACAACATAACTCTTCCAATTATTTCAGCCGCGGAGTTGAATGGCCTGTTTCTGTATGGAAGTCAGCCAACACCAGAAATGTGCTGAACGGGAACACCGGTTTTACTGGTCTGTAAATCACGACCCAGTGTAATCGTCGTCATGTGTTGGATAGAGGATAAAACATGGACGAGTTTGTCACATGAATCAAATCAAACCAAAATCCATACATCATGCTTTTTCTGGCATCAGCAGAAAATGAGAGCCTCATGTTCACCACATGTCCACCGCTATCAGCCGCACAATGGTCTACTTGCCGCAATGACCAGTGGTGAAATTTCGGCAGAAATGATCATCCAAGAACTCAGAACTCCCATGAGCCCCCGTGAGCTACTAACTAAAATTATACTACTACTAATTATACTACTCACTGACGTATGGCCCAAACTGCTGGGCCTAGGCGCTCTTTGAATACCAAGTCCGTACACGCTCTCACGAATGAGTCACGTTTGCGATCGCTCTATATGCAACATATGGGAATAGCTTCCGTTTAGCTGGGATCTTCCGCAGCCGTTTGAATCGTTGCTAAAATTATTTCAGCCTGTGCTTTTGTAATTCTTCCAGTTTGTGCCAGTAATTTTTGCCGCATCGGAAATTCTGATAAGGTGAGGCAATCAGCCTTGGATAAAACCGATCATCAAACATTTCGGATTCTGGTGTCATATGGCATCAGGCACTTCAATCCAGGTGGTTTTGCTCACAAGAGCCGAGCAAACGTATGATTGTAATAACGTGCATTAGTTTACTTTATCCACTCCAGTAGGAAATTTGTGTCGTATATGAAGTAGATAGTCGATTAGAATAGCCGAATATCACTGAGCAGCCAATTCACCATTAGTTCCTACACCTCCAGACATTCACTCAGGCAATCTGGATGGAAACTGACAACAGGATCGCCACTGATATATGTTGGCGGACAATCAAGCACAACAGGGATCACGCGGGTCGCATCCAAGCGCTTCGCGATCTCCTTCATACTCCTCTGCCAAACCAAGGGATGTCCACCTCTTTGCTTCCGCCGCTCTGAGTTGGACACGGAAAACGGCATACGTAACATATCACCCAACCAACGCAGCTTCTGTTGTTGGACACATACTTCAATGGAAATACCCGTTGCACAACCGAAGACTCGCTTCCCAATTGCCTCATTACCGATTCGACAACGATAACCCATACGATTTACGGTTCTGAGATAACAAATGTTGAACACCTGAACACGTCTCAGTTCCGCTTCTGTGACAGGCAGATTTTCACAGCCATACAACAAAACAGCCCGCACTATAGCTTGAAACACACGTCCCTTCAGAGTCAGGGACAAACCACTCCGACGGCATGTGTCTCAAATTAGCAAACGCGGCCCGAGCCCTGCATCCACCGCATCTGTCACACTACATTCGGAACTAGCACTTATTCCAAGATATGTAAAACGCTCCACAACCTCCAATACCGCTCCCTGGATTGAAAGCGGAGCGTTAAGTGACTGCACATCCTTGATTATGACCTTTACGCTTTGTGGGTGTAAAGTGTACACCAAAGTACGGAATAACTTTGGTCAGTTCATCAAAAAACACCTGCGCCTTCTCCTCCGCTTCGAACATGAGAACGATGTCGTCTGCCAGCTCCAGATCGACAAGGCGTCCTTCACATGCTATTTGAACACCGGGGTATTTTGGAACCTTCTGCGTTTTTCCCATTATTTCATCGACCACGAAGTTAAAAAAAGAGTGGAGAGATTAAGCATTGAGGACGGAAACCACTCTGTGTACGGAAGCTTCTGGAGAGCTTGCCGTATAATCTCACATGTCCAGAAGTCTGAGAATACAAGAACATATTATGTTCACAAACTTCCGTGGCATTGTTTGTTGGGCAGTCGTGCCGAGCAGAACAGGCCGATTAACCGAATCGAAGGCGCCTCGGAAATCCAGGAATACTGGAATCATGGGACGCCTACACCTATGGCGTTGCTCTAGCACCTAACGAAGCGTGAAGATTTGGTCAACGAAACCCCTACAGGCCGGAATCCCGTTTGTTGCTCTCGAGTTCGTATCTCACGAGTCATCGTAAGGCGGGGAAGCAGCAGTGACGTCAACACTCTCAGTACGACCTGTGTCAAGCTGACACCCTTGTAGCTATTGCAATCACTATGCGCTCCTTTTTTGAAAATGAGCACAATCACTGCCTTTCTTCAGTTGTCTGGGACAGACTCCGTTCCCCAGATGCAAGCAATCAGATCAGGCAAGCGTTGACTGAGGGTGGGAGTTCATGCAGTCCCGGAGCGCGGTGCTGCTTGAGAGAACATATGCAGTCGTAAACCTGCGAGGCCGTAGGTGATTCCACGTTCACTGTCCGGGATTCTACGTCACCTCTGTGGTCATGATGAGTGCCGGCTGCTGGCTACGAGAGTTGCTGCTCGAAGTAATCAGTTCACCAGTCGAGGAGATCTTCTATAGTCGATATGTTCTTTCCATTCTGATGCTGGATGGTTTCACTCACAGGTGGTTTCCTAGGACCGGTCGCACGGATCAAATGAACAAATCTACGGGCATTACCGGCTTTCTGGGCCTTTTCCATTTATTCGGGTTTTGTGTCCACCATACTTCGCGTCTGATAACTCTTCGCACCGGGTTATGTTCGGGACCAGCTGCGATATTTCTTCGAGATTAAAGTGGTGCCACCGTTCGGTCTGATATCCGTTGCTTGGGTGCGTCTGGTTGGGCCGTGCCACGGGCGAAATTCCAAGTAATATGCAAAGAGGTGCCGATCTCGACCAGCTATTCACATCTGATGGTGGTGCATTTGGAAAAGACTCTGGAAGACGATTCTGGATATTTCGTCTAACATCCGGATCTGCTAGTCTCTTAGTTGTCGAGCGATGTTTCCACACCCCGAGCAACCCTGGAAAACGTAGGGAGAAGTGACTCCGGACAAGCTCGTGAAAACCAAATTGATTTTCAACTGAGTGTATTTCTCGAAAACAGTCCAATTCGGGTTCAAGTACAGCATGATTTGGACGGTGGTAGGTCCCTACCAATTTTATCAGCCAGCAGTAATAAAATCGTTGCATGGCTGCATGGCGTTCGAGGACCCTATGAAGCCAGAGGACTTTGGTTATTTCGGAAGTTAGCACTGCATAAAAGCAGCCTGTGATCAGCACACAGATGAAGCGCTCGCTCCTCATGTTCCCCGCCTACCGAGATCAGTCCTCCAGACCTCCTAATTCCGTCTCAGATACACTAAGTCTGCCCACATGTGCGTTTATACCTCAGGCAACTACGACGATATCTGAGATTTTAGCTCGCCTGTGCAGGACATTCAGGGTGTCGTAAAACCTGTCCATGATGGTGTTGGAGCTGCAATCAGTCGGGGCGTAGGCAGATACGATAAACAGACATCTATTAACTTGCTGCCTGTGAGACTCCAAAAAATTCGCCAGAGGCGACTATCAACAGGCATCCAGTCAAAGGAGAATACTTCCGCCCGGTGATTTCGCATGATACCAATCCCTGCTCAACTCACCGCCACAGTAGCCTCTGTCTCACCAGAGGTGCGCGGCCGGAAGCCAGTGAAGACTGATAAAGCGGTTAGCTCAGTCACTGTGCTTGCAACTTGAATTCTCGTTTCTGAGTCACAGCACACATCAATGCCAAGCGAGTCCAGTGTGAGTGCGAGAGCAACTTGTTGTTCTGCTTGCTTCAGAGTGCGGAAATTGAAAGTGGCAGATAGACTGGATGTCGAGCCTTGTGTGTTGATTTAGAGGACGCCAGCGGCATGTGTGAAAGAGAAACAAAAGTGTCTGCATTAGCCTGTTTTCGTTTGCTCACCCTGCTGTATAAAGCAAGTAAGGCGACCAGGCCGATGGCACTTCGCGACAACCGATGTGACCTGTGAGTATTTTTAGTCGTGTATGTCACGGTTGTACGAGGGCTGTGATATTACCATGGCGCCCACACCCAGACAGGAGGAAGATGACGGTCTTCAACCAAAGCCTTTGGCGGAAAAGCCCAACAGCAAAGGAGCGGTGTTTAGCGGGAAATGCAAATGCATCCATATACAATCAGCTTCTCTGCCAGTGAAGTGTGAATAGTCAAGTGAACAAGTGATCTTTCGATTCATTTCTAAGGACTCCTGGTACTATCTCTGAGTCTACCATGCAATTGTTACAGCAACCTCAACGATTGAGACCTCGGCGATATCGATTCTCATGAGGCTAATGCCGTTAAGATCTCTAGGACGACAATGTAAGACCGGTAATTTTGGGAGGCATAATAAACAGGACTCGCTCCAAGCTGTCCGGGTTTAACACACGCAATAGTGAATTCGCTTGCGACCTATAAACCCGGTTCTACTAAAACGTATGCGCTTTGAGGTTGCACTTTCGGTCTGGAGACTTCCCGCAGTCCGGCAGGGATTGTATCTTGGCAACAACGACCATGTACGTTACGAATCCCTCGATTCGGTTGGCTTTCCATCGTACGTAGGTCAGTTATCCGATTCAACTGGGATTTAGCTGAGTCTCGCGCTGAAAACAACGTTGCGCCTGATTGGTAGTAGCTCGCAAAGTTCCCAGAATAACGTAATGTGTAAGGAGATCAAGGGACAGCGCCTACTTCCAAAAACTCGATCAAACCAATTCTAAGCCCGTCATTTTCTATATACGCAGCTATGGACTAAGTTGCGCTAGACGCAGGATTGCCGGGTGTAGAATGCATCACATTAAGAACAAGCTGTTGCGGTCCATTAACCAGCTACGGAGCATGACATAAATCGTTCCAAATGATGTTTGACAGAGACGTGGTGTGGCCAGTAAATCCATCAATGCCCCCACCAAAGATTCACGTATGTGATTAATCCGTATTCAACGT